TTTTTTTTTTTTTTGGTCTTTTTGAGACAGGGTCTCCTTGTAGCCTCAGCTCTCCTGGAACTCACTAAGATCCTCCTGCCTCTGCCTCTGCCTCCTGAGTGCTGGGATTAAAGAGAAACTAGGTAATATTTGAGCAATTCTGCTCACCTCTCTGAACCAGTTGAGAGTAAGAAATGTAAGTGAACACATGAATGAACGCTCTTTAGCAGACATGGACTCCAGTTTCTCTCCAGGTTCCAGGTCAGTAAGGAATAGAGGACAGTCTGAGAGGGGAAAAAAAAAAAAAAAACCAACTGTTTTAGCTTCCTTTGGTTCAAGCCAAAAGAACTTGAGAGCTTGTCCCCACCTCCCACCCCTACCCCAGCTACTTATTTGCTTCCTTAACCCATTATTTAAGGGTCAAGTTTTGACTAATTTCAAAAAAAAAAAACTTCCTTATTAGTGTTAAAAGAATACATCCATAATATATTGCATTCAGCAAACAGAGGAAGTTTACACAGTTACAGAGAGAAGGACTGAAAGCAAAATGGGGAACTACAGTAACAACTCACTTATTAGCATTAATGGAATTCCATACAAGCTAATTTGACTCTGGAATGCCTTATTACAATTCTACTATATGAAGTTAGAAAATTTCTTTTCACATATACCAGGTACAGGTCTGGCCGTTATTGACGTTTACCAGAAAGATCACAAAGGAAGGAAGATCTGAGAACTTCGTCCTATACCTAAAAGTCCATCAATTTCCTCCAGGTTTCCATTATGTTGACTTGCCACACAAAGTCTCAGTAACCGGAAATGGGGAGCCAAACACAATGGAGATATCCATCTAGGAAGGAAAATTCATCTCAAGAACCACATTTAACATCACAGTTATATTAGTTCACTTCTATGGGACCCCATTTTTATATTTAGAGAAAAATGGTAAGGAACCTGCATGTATGAAAGTGCGGGAGGGTGGGGGGTATATGAGGTAGATATGAAGTAGAGGCGGGGGAAGGAGGGAATAAGAGAGGTAGAGGAAGTCAAGAATGTTCATAAGAGGAAAAGCAAGGGGTAAGGATTAGAAAATAGCCTAGCACAGTATCTGCTGCCTATTACAAGCCAACACAAATCTCAACCCCAAGGTCCAAGAAAAAAGTAAAGAATCTATCCCATTCCCTTTAATCTCTCCAAATACAACATTTCTTAGAAGAAACACTTTTAACTCAGGGATCCTACACATGAAAGAACTATGGAATTCCCTACAAACATTCAAAATACCAGACTGAAAGACTACTAACTTTTGGGTTGGTTCTTGTGGAGTCATTTGATTCCCATCTTTTTCGAATTCCTGAGAGAATAATGGCAGGAGGTTGATGGCAATCCCATCCTGAGTACTGTATTCTTCCAGTCCATACAGAGCTTTCACAGGAAATGGGAAATCACTGTGAAGAGAACCCTGGATCTGATGCGCCAGCTCAGGGGAAAACACAGCTATGGGGAAATCAACTTCAAGCAAAATTATTATGCGAAGAAGTTGTAAATAGGAAGAACAAAGGGGAACCTTCTAGTAACTCTGAAGTTAGAGGTACAGGGGTGTTAGGGATGGGGAGAGCTATAGTGGGCAGACTTGGCTTAAGGGCAAAATGTAGTGGAAGGTTTATATCACCTGTTGACAAAACTGATTTAACTTCACCAGTACAGCTACGCCAGAAGATAAACATCACTTACCCTTCTGGAACAGCACAGAAGTCCACCACAAAAGCATCTTGGAAATCATTAAAGATGGTCTGCCCAACCGATTCCTTTGGGGAACAAAGTATAGTCCAAGGTATATTTGCTACATAACCCTAAATAAACCACTGCTAACTTTTCTAAACCTCAGGTTCCTCATTTCTAAAAAGGAAATTACAATATATACCTAAATATTATAAAGAAAAAAGATAATCCACAAAAAGTGCTTAGCTCAGTGCCTGGCACAGATTAGGGCTGCAAACAAAGATGTCTATTACTATCAATAACCTTCTTACCATTTCACTATTACTATTATTATTCTGTGGAGGAGGCCTCAGAGATGAGACCTGAGATGGGGTTGGGTTGAATGGACTCAGCTATAATTTGTGAAAGCTCATAAAATAATCTATTTTCATTTATTTTTTCTTTAAAGACTTATTTTTATTTAGGGTTCTGTGTGTGTGTGTGTGTGTGTGTGTGTGTGTGTGTGTGTGTGTTTGTGTGGTGAGGAAAAATGTGCATGTGAGTGCAGTACCTGCAAAGGACAGAAGAGGGGCACTGGATCCCACAGAGCTAAAGTTATAGGCAATTGTGAACCACTCAACATGGGTGCAGGGAACTGAATTCAGATCCTCTGCAAGAAGAGTATACTCGGGGCTGGAGAGATGGCTCAGAGATTAAGAGCACTGGTTGCTCTTGCAGAGGACCTGGATTTGATTCCCAGCACCCACATGGTGGCTAACAACCACCAGTAACTCCAGTTCTAGGAAATCTGACACCTTCTTCTGACCTCCTTGGGCACTACATGACACGGGTGCACTCATTCACATGCAGGCAACACACTCATACACATAAAATAAATAAATAAAATATTAAAAAAAAGAACTGTACATTCTCTTGATTACTGAACTATCTTTCCAGCCCCAGGATAATCTGTTTCACACTGCAACAGAAAGGACTTAATGCATTGTAAAGTAACTCTGAGGCTTTGTTGCTTTAAGAAGAAACACTTGGAATGGGTTATGGCAGCTCATGCTTGTAATTCCAGCACTCTGAAGAAAGAGGCAGGAAGACTGCACCAAGTTCAAGACCAGCCTAGACTTCATAGCAGGTTCTACATCAGTTAGGGCTACATAGTGAAAACCTGTCTAAAAAAAAAAAAAAAAATCAAATCACCAGTCTCCCTTCCTCTCAAAAGAGACATTTGGTCTTACCAAGGTTTTTGGAGCCATCCTTTTTTCCTGGATCAGGTTGGCAAATTCATCGTAATAAAGAGAAGAGGCCCAAGGAGACTGCTCACTACAGGAATGAACCAGTTGCAGCAAAGAAGTCACCTGGCATAGACAAATGCAAAGAAAGCTGCATCCTTTAGGCTGCCAACCTTGCTAAATACATCTTTCCATGAATTTATTAAGTAGTAAGCTCTCTTTCCAATCTTGCTTCAAAACTCTACCTCACAACTCTTCCTGAGTCTCCTCTCTAATCTCTTTCCTATCACATCCCATATTCAAAACCAAAAGTAAAGTTGGAATGTAAGAAAGGGTTTATATATAGATTTAAGGATAAGCACTAAGAGAGGGGGAGAGAGACAAATAAGATGAAGGACAGGAGTTTGAGCCCTAGAATGGTCTTCTTAAGAGTTACCAAGATGAATTAGGCACAGGGGCATATGTCTGTAATCCCAGCACTGGGGAGGCAGAGGCAAGAACTTCTAAGTTCAAGGTCAGTCTGGTCTACCTAGTAAATTCTAGGCCAGCAAGGGATACCTGGCAAAACCCTGTCTCAAATAAAACCAAACATATACAGTATATACAGGGCCCTCATTTCCACCCCCAGCTCCATAGACAAAACCAAACCAAACCAAACCTAAACCTACAGTGACAAGAAGCAATTTCTGAATTATTGGGAAACATATCTGACTACATTATACAAACTTACCTGTGTGCACTGTTCACTACTCAGGTTGGCTCTCCTTTGGGTTGCATTAGAAGATACACTTCTAGAAACAAGAAATTTTAGTTTCATTTCTGTAATATTTTATAACAACTACCACCAAGTTTAAGAGTCCTGAGTACTTTTTTTAAGAGGGGAGTACTTTTTGTCCATACATGTGGATTACAGTGAAGGATGGAAAAGGGTCACACTAGGTTCTCAGGCTTATGTCAAATACTTGGGTTCAAGTGATCGCTCTGCCCATTATGTCAGCCTCAGGAGTTCAGGGACTCTGCATCCTAGTGAGCCCAGCTGATATATATTTTTAAGGACACACTAAATTAGTAACAATAAGGGAAACACCTTTTTTTTTTCAGATAGATGTCTGACCATGTTGCCTAGGTCAGCTTTGAATCTCAATTGTTCCTGCCTCAGCTTCAAAGTAAGTAGGATGGTCATGCCCATCTAAGGAAAATATTTCTCAGTATGTCCTAACCATTGACTACTCTCTATAACTCTATGAAGTAAATAAATTATTATTTCACAGTTGTGAAACTACAAAGGCTAGCGAATGACTAGCCTTTGGTCATTTAGCCAAATGACCAAATGGAGTCAGGGTTTGACTCCAGACAAGCAGTATGGCTCAGTGAATAAACTTTTTTTTTTTTTTTTTTTTTGTATTTTTGAGACAGGGTAGATCCAGCTGGTCTGGAACTCACTATGTAGACCAGGCTAGCTTTGAACTCACAGAGCCTCTGCCTCCTGAGTGCTGGGATTAAAGGCATGTGCTACCATGCCCAGCCTATGAATAAACTTGTAAGCAGCACACTGTAGCCTGTTCAGATTTGTTCCCCCTTTTTCAGATATTAATGTTGATTCTAAGGATATGTACTGAACTCAGGAATTCCTAAAAACAATTTCCAAGAAGGATAAACTGATCTATAATATCAGTTGCAATGACAACATCTTATCAAGTCCCAGGACAGATGATTCCTTAGATACAACAATTGGGGCATCAAAGAACAAGGGAGGAATGCACGAAGAAACTATTTGCACCAAACATGAAATTCCAGACAGAATTAGCACAGCAATATTGAGTTTAGGTCAAGATCAAATCCAGAAAAAATAAATTCCAGGAGGGCCAACAGTAGCCTTTTGCAGAAAGATTTCTAGTACCGTATCTCTGGGAAATCCCTACTTTTTAATCATGACACTATAATGATAATGACACAATTCTATAAAAAGTATACATGGCATATATAGCCAAGATTGAAAGAGAATGGGCTAGAGAGATGCTCAGTAGTGAAGAATGCATGGTACTCTTGCAGAGGAATAAGTTCAATTCCCAGCATCTACATTAGGAGGCTCACAACTCCTGTAACTCCAGCTCCAGGGGGATCTGATGCTTCTAGTCTCCATGAGCAAGTGCACTCATGTGCACATATCCACTCACACATACAATTAAAAATAATAGCCGGGCATGGTGGTGCACACCTGTAGTCCCAGCACTTGGGAGGCAGAGGCAGGCAGATCTCTAGAGCCAAGTACGGTCACAGACCTCATGGGCAGGTTGTGGAGTTTGGAACTCTCCCACCTAGCTGTCAACTCAAAAAAAAAAAAAAAAAAAAAATTAAAAAAAAATATTAGAAGAGAATATCAAAAAGCAAAACCTATGTGTTTACTTCACATATAGTTTTAATGTCTACTACTAAAACAATGGCTACAATATACAATGTTTTCTTTTCTTTAAAATTTTATTTATTTTTTATTTTATGTGTAATGCGTGTATTGCCTGCATGTAGGTAAGTGCACCTGTGTCATGCAATGCCCACGGAGGTCAAAAGAGGCTGTCGGATCCCCTGGGACTGGAGTTGCAGACAGTTGTTAGCTGCCATGTGCGTGCTGGGATTTGAACCCAGGTCTTCTGCAAGAACAACCAGCGTTCTTAACCGCTGAGCCATCTCTCCAGCCCCACAATGTTTTATTTTCATAAGGTAGCAACTTCATTAACTGATGCTGAGGCACATAAGTCAGAATCTCCATGTGTACCTGTCTTCTGCCATGATGACAGCCATGGTGACGGCACCAATAATCCCAATGAGTTTGTACTTGAATACAGTGCTAGACAGCTGCTTTCGTATCACCAGGTGCATGTCATCCTGCAGTGAGACAGGGATGGGAAAAAAGATGCTGGAGTGACACATGAATTAGTGAAAGTAGTCTAAAAAGTCTGTCAACTACTAACTGTGTGACCTTCAGCAGATCATTCCATTCTCTGCAAGACAGGAAAGTTTGTTTGAAGATTTAAAGAGAAATTAGGGCTTGAGATGGCTCAGCAGTTAAGAGCATTGGCTGCCTTTGTAGGACACAGGTTCAGTTCCCAGCACACACATGGCAGAAAACACCCATCTATAACTCTACCTCCAGGAGATCTGATGCCCTCTTCTGGCCCCCACAGGCTCTTGCATGCAAGTAGTGCATATAATTACACTGAACACATACAGATAAACCTTGAACCCACAGAAATCCACCTGCCTCTGGGATTAAAGGCATGTACCACCCACACCAAGCTTATATATATATATAAAACTTTTAAAATCTTTTAAATTTTATTTATGATTTAAAAAAAATTTATGTGTATGAGTGTATTGCTTGCATGTATGTGAGTGTACCTGTGACAGTTTGTAGCCACCACGTGGGTGCTAGGAATTGAATCTGGGTCCTCTGCAAGAGCAGTCAGTGCTCTTAACTGCTGAGCCATCTCTCCAGCCCCAAAAAATCTTATTAAAGATATAGAGAGAAATTATGAAAAATTCCTAGACCAAGCAATACACTTAATAATAGCTGTCAGTACTGTCATGGCTGCTCTAGGAGAATATGAGAATTATTGTGATGCTGGCCACTCAGCTAAAATTATTAGACATGCCAGGTATGGTGGGTCATACCTTTAATCCCAGCACTTGGGAGGCAGAAGCAGGAGGATCTCTGTGAGTTCAAGGCCAGCCTGGTCTACATATACAGTTCTAGGCCAACTAGGGCTACAGGGAAACCCTGTCTCAAAAAGATCAAATAAATAAATAAATAAATTATTAGACATGATAAACATTTTCATCTATTTATTTATTTTGTATATGTGTGGGTAAATGTGCCATGGCACAGATGCAGAGGTCAGAGGACAATTTCAGGAGCCCACTCCTCCATGTGGGTGCTAGGAATCAAATTCAGGTCTCAGGCTTGGCAGCAAGCACCTTTAGCCACACCTTGCTGGCCCACAATAAATTTATTTAGAAATAAATTTAACCAAAGAGGTAAAAGATTTACACATTAAAATCTACAAACACTGCTCACAGGCATAAGGTAAACCTCAATAAAACCCCAAGTTCAAGGCCAGCCTCAGCTACATACAGAAAAAAAGAAAGAAAAAAAAAAACCACTATGGAAAGAAATTTAAAAACAAAATAATGGGAATATGTCCTATGTTCCATAATTGGAAGACTAAATATTGTAAGATGACAACATTATTCAGAGAGTCAATGGAATCCTTATCAAAATTCCAGCAATGCTTTATTGCAAAAATAGGAAAAGCCACACTAAAATTCATATGGAATTCTAAATTCAAATAATCAAAACAATACATTAAAAAAAAGTTGGAAGGCTCACGTTTTAAAAAATAATATTTTATTTTATGTGTTGACTGTGTTGTCTGCATGTGTGTAAGTACATCTGTGTTGTGCAATGCCCGAGGAGGTCAGAAGGTGTCAGATCCCCTGGAACTGGAGTTCCAGACAGTTGTTAGCTGCCATGTGGGTGCTGGGACTCGAGCCCGGTTCTTCTGCAAGAGCAGCCAGTGCTCTTAACAGCTGAGCTCTCTCTCCAGTCCCAGCTCACTTTATTTTTTCTGACCATCTTGTGAAAACCCATACCAGGGTCTCTGTGCAGTGCAGAGAAGCCAGGCTCTAGTTGTGGCTACTACATTTTTTTGGGGGGGGGGTGCTGGGGGGAGACATAATCTATGTGGCCTAGACTGGCTTTGAACTTACTGTGTACCCCAGTCTGGCCTCCAAATTGTGATCCTTCTACCTCAGCCTCCAGAATGGTGGGATTTAAAGGTGTGCACCATCATCCCTGAAGGCTCATACTTCTCAGAATCACTACCAAGCTACAGTCATCAAAACAGTATTGGCATAAAGAGAGATGTACTGGCCAATGGAAAAGTCCAGAAGTAAGCCTTCACATGTGGTCAACCAGTTTTTTTTTTTTTTTAGTATATTTTATTATTTTTATTTTATGTGTAGGAGTGTACTGCCTGCATATATGTTAGTGCACCTGTGCTGTGCAATGCCCATGGAGGTCAGAATAGGGCTTCAAATCCCCTGGAACTGGAGTTACAGACAGCTACCAGCCAGCCACCATGTAGGTGCTGGGAATCAAACATGGGTCCTCTGCAAGAACCAGTGTTCTGAACCACTGAGCCATCTCTCCAGTCCAGGTCAACCAATTTTTCAACAAGGGTGCCAAGACCATTCAGGAGGGAAAAGAAAAGTCATTACAGCAAATGATGTAAAAAACTGGATATTGGGGTTGGAGAGGTGGCGGCTACGAACCGTCCTTAACTACAGCTCCAGGGGAATCCGAAGCCCTCTTGTGACCTCCGCGGCATTGCACGAGACAGGTGTACTCACATACATGCAGACAATACACTCATATACATAAAATAAAAATAAATAAAATATTTTAAGAAACTGGATATCTAGGGACTAAAGAGATGGCTCAGTGGTTAAGAGCACTTCCCATTCTTTCAAAGGACCCAAGTATAGTTCCTAGCACCCACATCAGATGGTTCAAAACTGCCTCCAGCTCCAGGGAATCCAACACCCTCTTCTGGTCTCCACAGGCACCCACATAAATATGGCATATATACATAAACATATAAATAAAAATAAAAAAATAAATCTTTAAAAATTAGATGTTTACACGTAAACAAAAAAATTAAAGCAATATCAAAATTAAAGTGGATTGGAAACCTTAATTTAAGAGCCTATAATGGCTTTTAGAAGAAAATAGAGGAAAATGTTTGTGACATTGCTTTTGGCAAAGGTTTCCTAAGTATTACACAAAAAGTACAACAAGAAAAGAAAAAAACATAGATAAGTTAGACTCCATCAAAACTAAACACCTGTAGAGGGTGGCGAGATAGTCCAGTGGTTAAGAGAACTAGCTGCTCTTGCAGAGGGCCAGAGTTCAGTTCTCAGTACCCACATAGCAAGCAGCCAGCAACTGTCTATAACTCCTAGTTTCGGAGGACGTGACACCTTTTTCTGGCTTCTTTGGATACCAGGGCATACACATGGTGCACTTACATACATGCAAGGAAAACATTCATACACAAAGTAAAACTCTTTTCTTTTTTTTTTTTTCCATCTTTTTTGAGACAGGGTCTCCCTGTAGCCCTAGCTGTCCTGGAACTCACTATGTAGACCAGGTTGGCCTTGAATTCACAGAGATCTGCCTGTCTCTGTCTTCTGAGTGCTGGGATCAAAGGCATGTGCCACCACGCCCGGCCACAAAGTAAAACTCTTAAAAAAAAAAAAAAAGGAAAATAAAAGAACAAGAAGGGGGTTGGAGAGACGGCTCAGTGGTTAATCGCTCTGGCTGCTCCTGCAGAGGACCTGAGTTCAATTCTCAACACCCACATGGTGGTTAACAACCATCTGCAACTCCAGTTCCAGGGCATCTGACACCCTCTTCTGACTTCTTCAGGCATTGCATGACACGGGTGCACTTACATACATGCAGGCAATACTACACTCATATACAAAAAATAAAAATAATATTTTTTTTAAAAAAAAGAAAGAAAAGGAAAAAAAAAAACTAGTTAAGCATGGTGGTTTCATGACTCTAATTCCAGCATTCAGAAAGCAGCAGCAAGCAGATCTCTGTGAGATCAAGGCCAAGCTGGTCTACATATCAAGTTCTAGGGCAGCTGGGGCTACAGGAAGACCCTGTCTCAAGAAACCAAAACAAAACAAACAAAACTCCCCAAAACTAAACAAAACACTTTCAGACATCAAAGTACATTATCAAAAAATGAGAGCTGGGAGGCTCAGGAGTAGTTCAGTTGGTAAAGTACCTTATCTAGCATGCATGAAATCCTAAGTTTGCTCCCCAGAATCATATAAAACTAGATGTGATGATGTACACCTATTATCCCAGAACTCAGGAGGTAGAGGAATGAGGATCAGAAGTTCAAAGTCATCATCAGCTACAAAGGCAGTTCAAGGCCAGCCTGGGCTACAGGAAGTTCTGTCTCAAACAAACAAAAAGCATGACAGCCACGAGTCAGGTATGGTAGCACAAACCTATAATTCCAGCACTTGCGATATGGAGGCAGGAGAATCAGGAACTCAAGGTCACCATCCTCAGTTACATAATCCAAGCAAGTCAGTCTAGGCTATAGGAGGCGGGGATGAGTCTGGGAGTTAGTTAGAGAGATGGCTCAGTGGGTAAAGATGCTTGGTGCCATGCCTAACAACTTGAGTTCAATCCCCAGGACACACAGAGTGGAAGAAGAGAACCAATTCCTGCAAGTTGTCTTTTGACTTCCACACACATGATGTACAGTGCACACTCAAAGTATACACACACAAGTAAAGAAATAAATGTAATTAAAAAAATGTTAAAGGCAAAGCTGGCTGGGCAGCTTGTCATACTAGCACTTGTAATGCTAGCACTCAGGAATGCTGAGACAATGAAGGATTCAAAGTTCGACGCCAGCTTGAGGCATATTAGATCCTGTCTCAAAAAGGTTAAGAACTTGAATAGAGAATCTCTAAAGAAGGCATATAAAAGGCCAATGAACAAATGAAAAGATATTCAACATTAGACCTTATAGAAATTCAAATCTGAGTCATAATGATACCACTTTATAATCGGTAGGTTGGTTATTAAGTACAAAATAGAAAATTACTTATGAAGCTATAGAGAAATGGGCCCTCTCAGACTGTAAAATGGTGGAGCTGCTCTGAAAAACTTGGTGGTTCCTCAAATTGTTAAACACACAATCACCACATGACTCAACAATCCTATTCCTAGGTATATGACCCAAAGAACTGAAATTGAGAATCAAATAAATATTTGTATAATAACGTTGATAACAGCATTACTCAAAAGGCCAAAAGGTAAAAACTACCCATGTCCATCAATAGATGAATGAAAGAACAAAAATGTTATATATGTGTGAAATGGACTATAACAAGAATGAAGGTCTAGGCTGGGCATGGTGGTGCACCCCTTTAGTCCCAGCACTCAGGAGGCAGAGGCAGGCAGGTCTCTGTGAGTTCAAAGCTAGCCTGGTCTACATTGTAGTGCATTCCAGGCCAGCTGGTGCTGCAGGGACAAAAAAACCAAAAAAAAAAAAAAAAAAAAAAAAGAAGGTCTGAGTCCAGGCATAGCGATCCACACTTTTAGTCCCAGCTCTTAGGAGGCAGAGGCGGGTGGATCTCTATGAGTTTGAGGCTAGCCTGAACTACCTAAGTGAGTTCCAGGTCAGCCGAGGCTATATAGTGAGACACAGTCTCAAAAAAACAAGGAATGAAGGTCTGTTATATCCTGTAACATAGCTGAAGGTAGAGAGCATTAAGTGAAAAAAGCCAGAGACAAATACTGTATGCTTCCACTTGCATAAGGTATCTAGAAAAAGAAAACAGACTGGAGATTACCAGGTACTAGGGGAGCAGGAGATGGGGAATAACTGCCAAACTGGGTACATTTTTGTTCAGGATGATAAAATTATGAAAATGGACAATGGTTATGTTTGCATATTGTGAATATTCTTTTTTCTTTCTTTGTTTATCTTTTTGAGACAGGGTCCCCCTGTAGCCCCAGCTGGCCTGGAACACAGAGACCTGCCTGCCTCTGCCTCCCAAGTGCTGGGATCAAAGATGTGCACCACCACACCTGGCCCATTGTGAATATTCTTTTTTTTTTTTTTTTTTTAAAACCAAAGTTATTCAGTCTCCGTAGAGACTGTCAAAATTGCCAATGCTGACTATATTGCAAGTTGTCACAGCGGAGTATTGGGAAAAGTTTTCAATTAGCAATAATTGCGCCTCGGATAAACCTCATTGGCTATGATACTGCCACTGTGCAAAGCTCATTGTGAATATTCTTAATGCCACTAATTTATATATTTTTAAATGGTGAGAATGGCTTTTGTTATGTATATTTTGCCACAATTCAAAAACAAAATAATGAAGTAGCTTTATATTATTGATATGAAACAATTCTAAAATATTCTACTAAATGCAAAAGCAAGGTACAGAGCAAGCAAGGGAAAAAGGACTACAGGTAACTATAAATTTATAAATATTCAGGAACATCTCAGAAAGCTCTGACACCGATGGCCTCAAGGGATACAAACAAATGCCAAGAGGACTGAGAAGGACAGAGAGTTATTTTTCACTGAATATCCCTTTATACATTTTGAATTTTGTACTATATGTGTATATTACCTAGCCAAGCCAGGCATAGTGGCACATGCCTTTAATCCCAGCATTCAGGAGGCAGAGGCAGGCAGATCTCTGTGAGTTCAAGGCCAGCCTGGTCTACATAGCAAGTTCCAGGCCAGCTGGGGCTATAGGGAGACCCTGTCTCAAAATGAGAAACAAGGGGCTGGAGAGATGGCTCAGTGTTAACTGACCGTTCTTGCAGAAGGCCCAGGTTCGAATCCCAGCACCCACATGGCAGCTAACAACTATCTGTAACTCCAGTTCCAGGGGATCCGAAAGCCTCTTCTGTCCTCTGGGGGCATTGCATGACATGGGTGCACTTACCTACATGCAGGCAATACACACATACACATAAAAATAATATTAAAAAAAAACAAAAAACAAATGAAAAACAAAAACAAATATTACCTAGTCAAAACAATTTTTTACATTAAAACAAGGTACCACAGTTCAGTATAGATTAGTGCCCCAAGGCAGCACTATAGATACAAAAGAATATGAGTTATGATTACAACCTAATAACCTCTACCCTTATTTTACTCAATTTACTTAGCTCTTTTCAGTAATTGGTGCCTTCATATGAAAGCAAACCTAGGTGTTTTACCTTAGAGATGTATGTTTCTTAGAAACAAGTCTCTATAGTACTCAATGAGGCATCGCTTATTCAGTGTCATTGGTTGATTACAGACACAGACCTATTCCAACAGGCTTTCTTTGTTGAAACAGGGTCTCACTATGTAGCCTAACCTGACCTGAAACTCACTCAGGCTGGCTTGGAATTAAAAATCTCAATTCCTCAGCCTCTCAAGTGCTAGGATTACAGGCATGTGCCACCATGTCTAATTTAGACTATAAGTTTCTTTTCTTTTCTTTTTTTTTTTTTTTTTTTTTTTTTTTTTTTTGTCTTTTTTATTTTTGAGGCAGGGTCTCCCTGTAGCCCCAGCTGTCCTGGAACTCACTATGTAGACCAGGCTGGCCTTGAACTCAAGAGAGATCCGCCTGCCTCTGCCTCCTGAGTGCTGGGATTAATGGCGTGTGCTACCACTCCCAGCTAGACTAAGTTTCTTGAGGGCAGAAGATCTAATAACTAGAATCTTTGTGTCAGGTATATAATAGACACTTCCTGTTTTTGGTAAGAATGAACAAATGCTGGTCATGGTGATGTACTCTTTCTACTACTACTGTACAGGCTAGAGTGATTCTTGTCTAGCAGATTTTAAATAAAGGTGCTTAAAATATTCTTTCTTGGGTTGGAGAGATGGCTCAGTAGTTAAGAGCACTTGTAGCTCTTGCAGAAGACCTGAATTCAGTTTCCCAGCACCAACACAGGGGCTCACAACTGTCTATAACTCCAGTTCCAGGAGATCTGATGCTCCCTCCTGGCCTCCATGGGACTGGACATGCATGTGGTGCACATTTATACATGAGGGCAAACACTCAAATACATAAAATTAAAATACAAAATTTCATTACATGGTGAATAGCTTTAGTGTCAACTTGACACACCTGGGTTGAGGGAGCCTCAATTGGGGAATTGCCTCTATTGGACTGGCCTGTGGCCATGTCTGAGGGGCATCTTCTTAATGAGTGATGGTGGGAGGGCCCAGGCCACTGTGGGTGGTGCCACCCCTGGGCAGGTGGGCCTGTGTTGCATAAGAAAGAAGGCTGAGCAGGGGCCAGGGAGCAAGCCAGTAAGAAGCATTCCTCCATAGCCTGTGTTCCAGTTCCTGTCTCCAGGTTCCTACCTTGGGCTCCCGGATGAACTGTGACCTGGGATATGTAAGCTAAATAAACCCTTTCCTCCCCAAGTTGGTAGTGGTCAGAATATTTTGTCACAGCAATAGAGAACAAACTAGGACACATTATAAAACAAAACATTTTTTTCTCAACTCATGGCCTCTTACCTGGATGTGGTTGCTGGTTTCAGGATGTTTGCTAAATGCTAGTGTGCTGAGAATATAGAAGAGTTTTCGTATTTGCTGAGGCGACATATTTTCTAGATAATCTAAAATGCCCTATAAAGGTGAGAAAAAACAAAACAAAACAATGAGGTGATTAGCTAACATTTTTCTCTCTAAATAAAACAAGTACCTAGCTCTCCTACCCCTGGTACTTATCCAAAGGAGTCCAACTCAACATATCACAAAGGTATTTGTTTATTGCAGCACTGTTCACAACACCCAAGTCTATAACCACCCTATGTGTTTATCAACAACGGAATGGATAAAGAAAATGTGGTACAGGGTGGAAGAATGGCTCAGTGGTTAAAAGCACTGGATGTTCTTGCAAAGGGTATGGATTTGGTTCCTAGCACCCACTTAGCAGCTAACTACCATCAATAACTCCAGTTCCAAAGGATCTGACACCCTCTTCTGGTCTCTGTGGGCACTGTAATGTATGTGCACTTACATACATGTAGGCAAAACGCTCATATGCATAAAAAATTAAGCTTTTTAAAAAAGAAAATTTGGCTTTTCTGCTGGGTGCCTGCTGGTTGCTACCGAAATGGGCAAGTTCATGAAACCCGGGAAGGTGGTGCTAGTCCTAGCTGGATGCTACTCTGGACGTAAAGCCATCATCATGAAGAACATTGATGATGGCACCTCAGACCACCCTTAGAGCCATGCTCTGGTGGCTGGAATTGACTGCTATCCCCGGAAAGTGGCAGCTTCCATGGGCAAGAAGAAAATCACCAAGAGGTCAAAGATCAAGTCTTTCGTTAAAGTTTATAACTAAATCACCTCATGCTCACTAGGTATTCTGTGGACATCCCCTTGGACAAAACTATGGTCAACAAGGATGTCTTTAGAGACCCAGCTCTGAAATGTAAGGCCAGACATGAGGCCAAGGTCAAGTTTGAGGAGCGATACAAGATGGGCAAGAACAAGTGGTTCTTCCAGAAGCTTCGGTTTTAGTGTAATTTTGTTTCCCTCATTAAAAAGAAAAAAAAAAAAAAAAGAAAATTCAGTATATGCAGACAATGAATATTTTTTTTCAGCCATAAGAAAAAAAGTGTTGTTTGGAGAAATATAGATATAAGTGGAGGTAATCATATTAGATGGATTAAGTCACTCTCAGAAAAACAAATTCCATGTTTTTTCTCATTTGTGATTATGAGATTTTATATAGATGCATAAAGTCATGTAAGTACATATGACATGAAAGTAGAAGTGAAATTGGGGGACTAATGAAGGAAGGAAGGAGCCAGAAAGGGGGGTAGAGCAGGGGAAATATGTTCAAAGTACATTATATACTTTTATGAAAATGTCCAATGTACCCCAGGACCATGGACATTGAATATACACTAATTAAAATTTTATACATATAAAATTAGGGCTAGCAAGATGGCTCAGCAGGTAAAAATATTTGCCACCAAGGCTGACAATCTGAGTTCAATCCTTAGGACCCACATGGTGGAAGGAGAGAACTGATGCCACAAGTTGTCCTTTGACCTCCACATATGTGCACACATGTACATACACACAATAAATAAATGTAATTAAAAGTATTTTTAGGGGCTGGAGAGATGGCTCAGCGGTGAAGAACACTGGTTGTTCTTGCAGAAGACCCAGGTTTGAATCCCAGCACCCACATGGCAGCTAACAACTGTCTGTAACTCCAGTCCCAGGGAAATCTGACAGCCTCTTCTGACCTCCAAAGGCATTGCACGAGACAGGTGAGCTTACCTACATGGAGGCAATACACGCATACATATAAAACAAAAATAGTAAGAATTTTTAAAAAAAATTTTTAAGTTAAAATTCTTTTAAGGATTTGAAGTATCCTCCAAAGTCATATATTGGGAGTCTATGGCCACCTGAAAGGTTTTGGGGAAGTGATTGGATTCTGAGAGTTCTAACCTAATCAGTGATTAATCTCTTGATGGATTCATAATGTGATAGCATTATGGGAAGTTCTTGAAAAATAAGAGGGGCTTAATTGGAGGAGGTATGCCTGCCTGCAGGAGCATGCCCTAAAAAGATGAACATATCCCCCACCCCCTTCTACTTGTCCTCTACTTCTTTCCCATGAGGTAGCTGTTTCTGCCACATATACTGTGACATTGATATTCTGCCTTATGCCATGAAAAAAACGATAGATCCAACCAATCATGGGCTGAAATCTCTAAAATCATGAGCCCAAAATTAATCTTTTCTTCTCCTAAGTTGTTCTCTCAGATACTTATCATAGCAACCAAAAGTCTAACATAATCCTTATAATGCCTACACATAGATAACCAAGTATCTATTCCCCCAAAAGCTTAAGTCATCCTCAGAACCCAAAGGTCTGGAAAGGGGCAGAGAGGGCTCTTGCAACTTTCCATATCCATGTTTTTAGACTAGGAACCACCAGGAAAGTTAGAAGTCATCATCTGGCCCTGTGCCTGGTGGGCATTAGTCAACTCCTGCTTAGCGCTCCTGCTGTACCTCCATTTTCTGCACTCTTTACCTTCACCATTTCTTTCTCAACAAAAACAATATTCCACCAAAAGCTGTCTGACCCTACTCCCTAAGGCATGTGTTAACTTTCTAGCATCTACTCTATATTTTCCCTATAGATCTGGGCAGTCACAAGGGAGCTTTTTTTTTTTAAAAAAAAAAAAATCTTAAGTAACGTCTTAATTTTCCCCTATGTAACAGAGATGGCAACAGTTATAATACCTTTCAAAGTTAGTCTACGGAGGAGTACCAGGTTTGAAGGCTTTCAACTAATTAAAAACATTATTTTTAATTTTATTATTTTTATTTTATGTGTATTAGTGTATTGCCTGCATGCATGTGAGTGCACCCGTGTTGTGCAATGCCGCGGAGGATAGAAGAGGCTGTCGGATTCCCCTGGAACTGGAGTTAAGGATGGTTTGTAGCCACCATGTGGGTGCTGGGAATCAAACCCAGGTCCTCTACAAGAGCCGTCAGTACTCTTAACCACTGAGCCATCTCTCCAGTCCCTAAAAAATCTTCATTTCTTTGTTTCCTGTGAATCCTTTCAGCCCACAAATAATTTCAAATCTTCCCAACTGAAAATATGACCCTTGTACCTTGTGTCTCTCTTGACATGCTTTTCTCACTCTCCCTTCTTGAGGTTTCCCAGCATTGAATCTACAGCCCCAGTCTGCACTTCTTCAAGTTACTGCTCTCTAGCTCCCGATCTAACTTGATTCACTGTTCTCTCAAAATTATATCCTAACTTCCCAAACCAATGGCTTCTTCATCTTCACCCTCTACCATGGTGTGCTGGATAGCTTTAGTGTCAACTTGACACACCTGGGTTGAGGGAGCCTCAATTGGGGAATTGCCTCTATTGGACTGGCCTATGGCCATGTTTGAGGGACATCTTCTTGATGAGTGATGTGGGAGGGCCCAGCCCACTGGGGGTGGTGCCACCCCTGGGCAGGTGGGCCTGTGTTGCATAAGAAAGAAGGCTGAGCAGGGGCCAGGGGAGCAAGTCAGTAAGCAGCATTCCTCCATGGCCTATGCCCCAGTTCCTGCCTCCAGGTTCGTGCCCTGAGTTCCTACCTTGGGCTCCCTGATGAACTGTGACCTGGGAGTTGTAAGCTGATTAAACCCTTTCCTCCCCAAGTTGGTAGTGGTCAGAGTGTTTGGTCACAGCAGTGAAGAAAAAAACCAGGACACATGGCTATCCAACTTTTTCACATGGTGATACAACATTGTCATCCACAAAGCTGATGCATTAAAGCTATGCCATTAAGTTACAAATTAAACACACACACACACACACACACACATACACAAATCTCATAAAGCTAGATATAGAGGGTATGCCTTTAGTCTCAGTATTAGGCAAACAGGGGCAGAAGGATCTCTGTTTGTTGCAAGCCTGGTCACCTAGAATGTTGTAGGCCAGCCAGGGCAACACAGTGAGAACCTGTTTCAAAAAGCCAATAAGCAAAATCTCTTAAGTAAGCTTGCTACTTTGTGATAGTATACATTCATGGCTATCCTTGGCCACATGCAGCCCACAGATCAAAGGCTGAACATGTCTACAAGTCTACACCATCAATCCAACATTATACACAACTCCCTTATTTGAACGCTTCTTTCTGAGATATGCTACCCAACATCATCTTTCACAGCTGGCACTATTCACCACCCTGTCTTCTCCCTCCCCTACTATGATCATTTCTTCCAGCCTGCCACTTTGACATTCTCGAAGTCTGCCTTCTTCCCAGGTTCTATGATCTTCGTGATCACCTCACCTGAGCTCATATCTTTTTAACTATGAATCTCTTAACTGGAATTTCCAACTACTCACAAACCATGGACCCAGAGAGGTCCCAAACTGAACTCTCACTGCATCTCTTCCAGAAGATGCACTCCTCCCCTGCTCACCTAAGTGTAGCCATTTACATAGTTTCCTGAGAAGGAAAACTGGCTCCTAGTTTCCTTGTTTCTCATTACTCTATAATATTAATAATCACAATGATTCTTATACCAAATTGTGTCTTAAGCCATCAATCACCCTCTTTCCTCATGACATAATTTTTGTCCTTACTCTGATTTCTTTGACTTATCATAGTGATCTCTAATCCACATACCACATGCTCTTAGTGCCTACACTGATTAGGTCCACACCCTATAAAACCTAGATTGGCTCCCTCTTATCTACAAATCAAATTGCACTCCTTGACATGCTTTTGACCCTTCAGAGCCTGACCCTATCTTACTTTTAATCAACCTCACCTCCCACCACTCTTATATCTTATCCATGACTGTCTACTTGTCAACACTGGCACAAAGATGGTCCACTGTTTTGCTTCCAAGCCAATTGTCTGCCAGAATGTACTTTCTTTCTTTCTCTTGTCAATCATTATTGTCCTTCAAGAAGCACTCAAGGGGCTGGAGAGACGGATCAGCAGTTAAAAACACTGGCTGTTCTTGCAGAAGACCCGAGTTCGAATCTCAGGACCCGCAAGGCAGCTAACAACTGCCTGTAACTCCAATTTCAGGGGATCTAACAGCCTCTTCTGTCCTCCTCGGGCACTGCAGGACACAGGTACACTTAGATACATGCAGAAAATACACACATACACATAAAATAAAAATAATAAATAAAATATAAAAAAAGAAGCACTCAAATGTTATCTCCTCTTTGAAGTTGTTTCCAGCTCTCTGGGCCAAATTTAATTATTTCTGCTCTTATTTTATGTTTTGTTTTGAGACAGAGTCTCTCTCTATAGCTCACACTGGCCTAGAAGTTGCTATGTAGCCCAGGATGGCCTCAAACTTAAATTTTTTATTACATTTTATTTGTTATATTTATTATATGTGGAGATCAGAGGACAACTTGTAGTAGTTGGTTCTCTCATTCCAATATGTAGGTCCTAGGGATGGAACTCAGGCCATTAAGCTTGGCAGCAGGCTTCCTTTCCTTGATGAGCCATCTCACTGGCCCAGAATCAATCTTTAAGTGCTAGGACTACAGGAATGTACCACCTCTCTCAAGTCTCCGCATCTATAGCACTTTATCTTTATTACAGAATTCATCTTAAGTTTATTACTCTCTAACATCAAAGGCAAAAACTAACCTTTTTATTCATAGCACTCAAAACAGAGCTTGACACAAAGGTATAGAAGAGTGTTTCTGGGGCTGGAGAGATGGCTTAGTGGTTAAGAGCACTGACTGCTCTTGCAGAAGACCTGAGTTTGATTTTCAGCACCCATATGGCAGCTAACAGCTGTCCATAAATCCAATTCTAGGGGATCTGATGCCCTCTACTCACCTCTGTGGGCAGTGTACACCATGGGTGTACTTACATACGTGCAGGCAATACACTCATACACAAAAAATTAAAGTAACAGGGGCTAGAGAGATGGCTCAGCAGTTAAGAACACTAGTTCTTACAGAAGACCCAGGTTCAAATCCCAGCACCCACATGGCAACTAACAACTGTCCGTAACTCCAGTCCTAGGAGATCCAACAGCCTCTTCTGACCTCTGTGCCTATTTTACAACATGGGTATACTTACCTACATGCAGGCAATACATGCATACACATAAAATAATAATAAAATTTTGAAAAAAATAAAAATAATAAAGTTTTAAGAATGTTTCTGGGGGGCTGGAGAGATGGCTCAGCAGTTAAGAACACTGACTGCTCTTACAGAGGAGCCGGGTTTGATTCCTAGCACCCACATGGCGCTATGAACCGTCCTTAACTCCAGTTCTAGGGGAATCTGAAGCTCTCTTCTGACCTCCACAGCATTGCACGACATGGGTGCACTCATATACATACAGGCAATACACTCATACATATAACATGAAAATAATA